ATTCCAGTGATATGAGGGGCAAAAAGGTAAGATCTGTGTAGTGGGAAGAGGTACATGGTTTCACAGACCGTGCCTCTTTTGTGTTATTCTTTGCATATTGAAATGTGCTTATTCAACTTAAAATAGCACTCAGACTTTTGGGACACCCTGACACCATCTTGTTTGTACATACTTGTTTGCATGTGGTCTGGCCCATTAGAATGTGCTTGCTTGAAGGCAGGGACTGTGTTTTTGCCTTTGTATTTCCAGCACATAGTAGGCACTTAAAGAATGGCTGTTGAGTGATTGGGGTATGAAACCTAAATACGTCCTTACTTCCATGGATCTGTGACCTCCCTGAGGCACTGTCTCCTCCACTGGTGCAGATTGCAGCTTCCCAATTAGAAGTGCCACGGTTTTCCAAAGGCAGCCCAGGCCACAAGAGCATTCGTAATAGAGGCTGGAAGGGATCTCATCTAATCCCTGTTTTATAGATGGTGAAACTGAGGTCCAGAGCTGGACCGTGACACAGTCGTACGGATAGTAAGGAGTGGAGCTGAGATTTGAACTCATGTTTCTCTGATTCTAAAGCTAGAATCCTTTCTGCCGCCCTTCCCTCCCTCCTTCCCTTCCTCTCTCCCTCCAGTTCAGTTCCGTCACTCACTCGTGTCAGTGGTGCCTGTCTCCAGTGACCCAACACACTTTCTCGATGCACTGGCCTTCGGACTTTTCTTATTACAGTCAGATCACATCATGATAAACCCCAAAGCATAAACATGAATGAGTATTATTAGAGCTTCTCCCTCCTTGGCGCATTCTACCTCGTATTGCGCAGGGAATCCCAAAAGTCAGCATGGAATTTTAAATTTGTTAAACTTACTACGTACTTGTCTTATTCCCCCAACCAGATTTTACGTTCCTGAAGGACAAAGTCATTTGTGTCGTATTTGGCCGTGTAATTTAGTGCTGGAAGAACCTGAATTCAAATCCTGCTTCAGACATTAGCTAGCTCTGTGACCCTGGACAGGTTGCTTCACCCTGCTGTCAGCCTCAGTTTCCCCATCTGTAAAATGGGAATAATAATAGTAGCACCTCCCTCATAGAGTTGTGGTGAGGATCAAATGTAATAATGCAAGTTAAGTGCTTTGCAAACCTTAGGTATTTAAACATAAGCTATTATTGTTAGTTATTATTTCTCCCTGCCTCCAGGACACATACAGTTAATATTTACTCTGTAAAGGAATTAACCAATGGAGATGTAAAATGAAGGACCTCGGGCCAGTTAGGAAGAGATCAGGCTGTGACTGGTGGTCTGTGATAGTGCTGCTTTTTCTCTCTAGTGCTTGTGGGGTGTGGTGGAAAGAGCATTCAATTGGGAGCCCAAAGACCTGAGTTCAAATCCTGACTCTGTCACTTGGTACCCAGGTGATCTTAGACAAGTCCTTTGCCTACCTGGATCTCAGGTTTTACCATCAGTAAAATGAGTGGGTTTGTTTGGTCTCGTGGAAGGGCCCCCCCAGCTCTAAACCTCTGATTCAGCAAGTGTTAGTGGAACAAGCAGCCCAATAGGTAGTGGACATTGGAGACACAAAGCTAGAAATGTCAGCCCCTGCCTTCAGGAAGCTTGCAGTCTATTCAGAGTAAACAACATGTTTATAAATGAAGTAGGACAATACCAACAATAATAATAGCTAACATTTATATGGAATTTTAAGATTCGCAAAACTCTTTTTATCTCATTCTATCCTCATGGCAACCCCTCTTGTAGAAGTCCTCTTGTTAACTCCATTTTACCAAAGAGGAAACTGAGGCTGAGAGGTTAAGTGATATATACACCTAGAACTTGAGGTGGAATTTGAACTCACATCTTCATGAGTCCATCCGCCATATTGCCACCTAGTTCTAGTAGCAATTGGGGGTATCAGGAGAAGCTTCATGGGATTATAGCGTCAGGGCTAGAAGAGACCACAGAAGCCATCTAGTCCAATTTCCTTATTTTTCAGATAAGGAAACTGGGGCCTATAGAAGTTAAATGACTTACCCAAGGTTAACATAGCTAGTAAGTTACTGAGAGGGAAAGCATTTAAACCCAGGTCCTCTGACTTCATATCCAATATGCTTTCCGCTGTACCATGCTACCTCTAGGAAGTATGCACAGAGATGAGAAAGGAGTGCTTGGTCCAAGGGTTTTATTTTTCTAAGCTATTTCAGGTTTATTTGTGCTAAACACTGAGTAATTGTGCCACTGACCTCATGGTTCCATGGAGGGGACTTGGGTTCTAGAAGATGTTACCAGAGTAATGCAAGCACTGGCCCAACCTCCCGACCTAGGCAAGCTTCAAGAGAACCAGTCTTGTGTCTCTTTGATCCAAGCATCATCCTTGTCCATCACCTACAATAGGGGTTCTTAACCTGTGTGCCATGAAGCCCTTTGACAGCCTCCCCTTCTCAAAATAACGTAAAGCGTGTTAAGTAAAATACATAGGATTGATTACAAAGGAAGCCAAATATATTGAAATAGTTATCAGAATATTTAAAAAATCCAAGTTCACAGACCCCAGTTAAGAGCTCCAGGCTGAGAAGCTCCTCACCAGACCATGCACCACCAGCTGGCATTTTTTTTCCTGGAGTAATTCATGAGTCGGTCTACAAAAGGATCAATCTGTATCAGTGGCCGAAAGCCCCAGGCTTACAGTCTTGAATCCTGCAAATACCATAAGTTGAGAGAGAATGAAAGCCTTTCCAAACCTTCCCTTTCTCTCCATTATGAATTTTTTTTCCCAAATTTTTAAACATGTTTCCAGAAAATTCCCATTTTAATACTGTGGGCGAGAAGCCGCCAGGAGCTAATGGGTACAGCCTGTGTCTCTCTGGTGCTTCCCATTCGGATCTGTCAGATTTGAATAAATGCTTCTCCGTAGAATTTCTTAATTGCCGGATCTGCCCCCAAAGGACTTTATATAAAAGGCAATCAAGCAATGTCTGTATATAAAAAGAGCCTTGAACACTGAAATGTGAAAAATAATTGGGTGGGATTTCAGCAAGTCAGCACACCAGAAGTTCCTGGCCTAGCTCAGTGTTATCAAGGCAGAGAGGAGGAGAAGGAGGCCGAGAAGAATGAACCAAAAAGAAAATTAACCCTTTCCATACTCTTTCCTGTACTACAGGTGCTTTACATACCTTCCTTATTTGCCTGATTTGATTATAAGCTTTTCTAGGGGCATAGAATATAGCTGACATATTTTTGTGTCTCCCACAGTGTGAGTGCAATGTCTTGTGTGGTCTAGCACTTTCCATTATATCACACTGTCTCATAGTTGTGAAGGATTGATCGTTGGAAAAAGATCTGGCCATCTGGGTTGACTCTCATCCTTTTTGATCTCCTTTGGTGCATCTCTGAGGATAGAACACTGTCATTATTAGCCCTGACTGTGGGTACACTTGCAGATTGTTTGTGGACTCAACAGTTTCACAGAGTAACCATGTTGGGGGTGTACTCTGTGGTCTAATGCTGTATCAAATTGTTCTTTCATTCCATAGAGCTCAAAGCACTAATAATATGTTCCAAATATAATGGCATATTCCAGATTGGCAACCTAAGACATATCCCTTGTCATGGTCTAGCGTGGCCAAAGAGAAGAGCCTATGCCCCTTACCTCGCTTGTTCATTCATTCATTCATTCATTCATTCATTGAGCATTTATTAAACACTTACTATGTGCAAGGTGCCATGTTACGTGCTGGGGATCCAGACAACTGCTGCTCTCAAGTTGCTTAGATTCTCCAGAGCAATCCAAGCTGACCACAAATAAATTGATATAAGATCAATACAAAGTACTCTTTGGAGGAGGGGAGACCCAAAAACGGCTTCCTGTAGGAGATGGCCTCTGGGCGGGGCCGAGGAGGATCCTAAGAGGCAGAGATGAGGAGAGAGAGCAGTCCAGGCAGAGACAGGAGCCAGAGTGCAGAGGTTTGAGAGGCAGGAGAGGAAGTAGACATACACAGTGTGGGCAGTGTTCTCCAGGAGTTTAGTCAAGTGAAACAAGGGTGCATCTCTGAGGGTTCAAACAAATTCAAACAAGGCTGAAGGAGAGACATGAGAGCATTTCTAAGTAGCAGAAAGAGTCAGGAGGTAGAAGGTGATTAAAGATTAGTAAGAGTGTGGGGATGATAGAGGGGCATTCCGCTGGAAATGAAGGTGAAATGGAATCAGGGTACATGTAGAAGAGTTTGCCTTGGTGAGGAGAAAGGCCAAGTGAGACAGGTGTGAAGGAAGAGATAATGGGGGAAGAATTCTGAATGATTCGAGATGAGGAAGGAAGAGGGAGTTTTCAGGAATGTGCTCTCTCTCTCTCTCTCAGCAAATGAGACAAGGCTTTGAACCAGCTTTGTATCCTGCCTCAGTCACTTACCTGCTGTGTAATCAGGAGCTCACCATTTTACTATTTCCCATCTGTTAAATGGGAATAATAATATTTCCAAGTTTTATTTCATGGGTTGTGGTGAAGATTGAATAAAATAATGTAGATAAAGCACTTTTCTAGTTTTGAGGCATAACAATAATAATAATAGCAATATTTGTAAGTGCTTTGAGGTCTACAAGCACTCTATGTATATTATCTCATTTAATCCTCACCGACGTCCTGGGAGCAGGTGCTATCATTATGTAATTGTAGTCTTGCCATGTAGATTACATATGGAAACGTGGATAGCTGTTTTTATTGTCATGCGTTATTGTTATCTGGACAATTCCGTTCTGTAGGACCCCTCACTTGCCTGCCCTTCTGGGATCTCCTGTTCCTTGGTCTCATGATTTGTCACCCACATGGACGGTAGTCATCACATTTGGTCCTGTGGCCACGCTGAAGAAGGGCCAAGCTGGCCTTAGCCGGGCTGGTCCTCCTAGGACGGACATTTCCTCTGAGATGCTTCACAGGGGACGTGTCTTCTCCCCTGCCCCTTCTTTCTCCAGTACACGCTTAAACACTCATAAGCTATGTCTCCATTTTTCTGTCTTTCAGAACTGAGGACGATCTTCTGGAATTGTTCATCAACAAGGGGACATCCAAGCCGTGACATATGCCAGTGCCACCGCCCCCGCCTCCGCCTTTGCCCCCACCACCACCCCCCACCGGGGTGCCTCCGCCCCCTCCGCCTTTGGCACCTCCGGTAAGGCTTGGTTCCCATCTGGGCTCCTTAGACAGTGAAAGCATCCTTGGATCTGGCTGAGCCCTTCCCAGGGTTTCAGAAAGCCATCACAGGACTCCCCTAGCTTTGGGCAGCTCCCTTCAGGCAGGCAGCCAGCTCTGTGGGTGTCAAGGCCAGGTTTAAAAGCCTGCACTCAATTCTGTTATTCCTCAGGCCCCTTCTGCTCTCTCTCCGCTGCCTCCAGGTAATCTCTCCTCTGGTTCCTGCTGTGGGAAGCCAGCTCCCTAAAGCAGACACCAGGATAGGCTCGCCCTCCTTTGGAATCAGCTGGCCAGCTTCTGCTTTCTGTTATCACTTCCCTTTCTTTGTAAGGTCTGAGCAGAATGCATGAATGGTGCTGCAGAAAATGCTTCTTTGATTGTGGTATCTATTGCTGTGGCCAAAGGCTCCCCCCACACCGAGGCTTCAGCCCCCAGCTACTGCCTGCGGTCAGACAAGAGAAATAGGGGCCTCTTAATGAAATGGGCTTGACTGCATTTCTGCCCAGGAGCCCTGAACTCTCCAGGGTTAGGGTCGGTCAGCTCAGTCTTTCTTTCTCTCTTTCTTTCTTTCTTTCTTTCTTTCTTTCTTTCTTTCTTTCTTTCTTTCTTTCTTTCTTTCTTTCTTTCTTCCTTTCCTTCTTTCTCTCTTTCTTTCTTTTTCTTTCTCTCTTTCTTTCTTTTCTTTCCTTTTTTCTTTCTTTCTCTCTTTCTCTCTCTTTCTTTCTCTTTCTTTCTTTCTTTCTTTCTTTCTTCCTTCCTTCTTTCTCTTCCCTCCCTCCCTTCCTTCTTTTCCCTTCCTTCCTTCCTTCTTTCCTTTCTTTTCCCTTCCTTCCTGCCTGCTTTTCTTTCTTTCTTTCTCCCTCTCTTTCTTTTCCCTTCCTTTATTCCTTCTTTCTTTCTCCCTCTCTTTCTTTCTTTTCCCTTCTTTCCTTCCTGCCTGCTTTTCTTTCTCTCTCTTTCTTTTCCCTTCCTTCCTTCTTTCCTTCTTCCCTTCTTT